GGATCAAGGTTTTCATCCCATCATTGACCTGGTTGGTTGGACCGATCAACCTGTCATCCAGCCAGGAATCTGAGTTTGTTTAGCCCCTGACCCTTTTGCTAAAAACCATAGATTAAGTCAACAGCCTGGTGACTCAACTGGTCAAACCATTGAACCATATGATCAGTCATTTGTTTACTGGGTTGTTAATATTAAACTTATTTTTTTGACAAATTCAGTAATGTTTAGAAAATAATTGTAAAAATGGTGAGGATAAGATTTTTGACTTTTTTGGACCAAGTTGCCCTTAACAATACCCAAAAGATAATTTGTACTCCTCTCTCCTTCTTATGCTATTTTTGCAAAAAGCTCATTTTCTTATCTCATTATTCCTGCAACATCTCTCTAGTGTTAAAATAATTTAATCAAATAAAATTAAAAAACTACTCTAGACAATGAGTAAATTCATTATAAAGCAGTAAGTTTTCCTCACATTGATTGGCATACTTGTTCCAAATAGTTCTGGAGAGAGAACAGAACTAGCATTGATAGTTTCAAGCAATTTAATTTTGCAAGTTGTGAATGAACCAAGCAAACTCAGCCTCCCGAGTGTCCAAATGATCTTCATGTTCTTAAAACACCTATATCTAAAATGCTGTAGACTTAAAAATTTTCTTCCAGGAATCAGATCTAACTCTAAGCACACTGAAAACCAAAGTTTCTACTAGATTTCAGGTATTCTAGTTCCAAAATCAAGCTGCTGCAGTAATTAAGTTTTTCTGGAATCTTCAAATCTCACAATCTTATGCGAGATAATCTCATATTTGGAAACTCTATATCACATTCTCAACCATATATTCTAACAGAGAAGACTGGAACATTTTCTTTGTCTACAGGTACTTGAGACCAGTCACAAATGAGCTCTGTGAAGATGGCATTATTAATTATATTATAGGGGATTCATGGATGAAGAAACAAGCAATAGTCCAAAAAACCTAGATCACATTCTCCCCTTCTCTTTTTTTTTTTTTCTGCTTTTTAATCTTGCACAGACACCATTGTTGTGGATCAAAGCAGAAATGAGATTCCCATTCACAAAGAACACCTTTAATTATTCTTCTCTGCACTGCAACACCATATCTCTTGAAGGTGATTTTATGGTTTAAATTTTGAACTTGCTTTTCTAATGAAAAGTTTTAACAGGGAACAGGGAGGGAGAGAGAGAAAGAGAGGGCACAGCTACCAAAAAGAGTGTGAGAAGAAGATGAATCATTAAGGGCAATTTGGTCTAAAATGGTAAAAAAAATTCTCTACTCCACTGTTTTTACATTTTTTTCCTAAACATAACTGAATTTATCAAATGATCAAACTTGTTCATTTAATATGCAAAAAGTCCAATCTAATTATTTATTCTGCATTTTTAGCTATTTCTATCATTAACAATAATATTTTTTACACTTATCTTTGTTTAGTATGATGAAAATATAATACTATAGACATGCCCAGTTTTTTTTTTTGCTGCATTTTATCTATTTATGTTTTTTGATATTTTTATTTGTAACATATGAACTTTGACATTCAATTGATTTACTGTTACACCTATAATCCCACTTGCAGCCTAAGATAGTGTTCATGTGCCCACCATCAAAAGCAAAGAAAACACTGCATCTATAACTTGGTGGATGGTGGTTGAAGCTTTGGACTGTAATATAGCAATCTAAATTTATCAAAGTGATAGGCCCCCAGTTAACCTTGTGTATGCTAGGAGAAAGAAAAGGCAGCATAAGGGGGAGGACATGGGGCATTTATGGAGGAGGTCAGAAGGGAATAGGAAGAGTCTTGGGGCATTTATAGCTATGTCAGTTATGAATAAGAAGAGTTTTTGGGCATTTATAATTAGGCCATCTGGGCATTTATAGAGGGAGTCAGTTATGCTATCAGAAGAGTATAAGAAGGGGCTTTGGGGGAAGGGGGGGTGGTATGTTTTTTGGAGTGTTTGGGAGAGCCGGCGGTCTCTCGAAGTATCGACCAACTGTTAATGTTTTCTGCTGAATAAATGCTAGTTTCTTTTGTTGATGTTCAAGTGTGTGAATTCTGCTGTGAGCCTGAGAACTGTGTGTGAGTTTCTGGGACATAACAGTAGTATCAGAGCACGTCTTTCCTCGGCCATGGTGACAGCTAAGGAAGTGGCATCGCAGGTGGAGGGTTTCGAAGAATGCCCGTCTTCTCTGCATGCTGGATTTCGTTTGGAGATGGATGGCTTATGCAATGAGTTTCAGCGACTCGATCCAGATAAGGTAGTTGCTGGACTTTCGAAGATCTCGTCCCTAGAGAACTTGGTACAATCTCTGGAAGGAGATGTTCAAGATCTGGTGAGATGTTTTGATTTGTTACTTCAGCAGCAGGCCTATTCAGCTCCTTTGTCTACAACTGACATTGCTCCTCCTTTAGTCGCATCGAGTCGTGCGGCTGACAAAGGGAAGAGCGCAGCTTTCCCGATGTCTTCTTCAATGTCAGTGCCGGAACATACTTTTGATCCACTTCCTCGGAAGTTGGAGTTGCCTATTTTTGATGGGGAAAATAGGGAGTGGTCTGTTTAGAGGGGGCGGCAGTGGTCTGTTTAGAGGGGGATGCATTGGCTTGGTATTATTGGGAGGACGGTCGGCGAACTTTTCGTGGTTGGACAGAATTCAAAGAGCTCCTCCTTGAACGTTTTCGATCGACTCAGGAGGGTAATTTACAGGAGCAGCTCTTCTCGTTACATCAGTCTTCTACTGTTAAGGAATATTGTCGCCAATTCGAGGTGCTCTCTGCTCCCTTACGTGACCTGCCGGAATCAGTCCTTGAAGCAGCCTTTGTTAATGGGTTGCGCCCAGATATCCAGGCTGAACTCCGACAGATGGAACCCGTTGGGTTGATCAGGAAAATGGTTGCGACCCAGAAGATTGAGGATAAGAATCAGGCCCTTTGGGCTTATCAATCCACAGCACTTTGCCATACTAGTTGGGCAATCAGCTCAAATAAGTCACTTTGCCCTGATGGTTGGGTAATCAGTCCAAATAAGAGCAAGTGTTTTGGGCTAATAGAAAACTCCAGTTATTGGGATGAATCAGAGTCCCGATGTAGGGATTATAATGGGCACTTGGCAGCACTGACATCAGCCAAGGAACTAAGTTTTGCTGGAAAACTCTGCACTAATACA